CCTGTTATTAATTTTTATTAAAAAACTTAATAATATAACTCTATGTGACGTCATCTGCTATAAAAAGTGTTTATAACAAAATTTAATAGTTTTAATTACAACGTAGAGGTGAGTTTTATAAAAAAAAAAGTGTATATAAAGATTTCATTCGTTATTAACAGTAACTTCTACCCTTTTCGAGATAGACCATCCCTTCTATATCTCCACTTTCTCGATCTTTCACGAAAAAAATTCAATAGCAGCGATGCCCCTCATATACAAGCCACTATGCCAAATTTTGTTTCTTAATCTTTACTTAATCCTGAGATATTACGCAAAATACATGCAAGCATACACACACATCTACGAAATTTCTTTGCTGTTTTGTTATTTACAATTTGCATTCAGTAAGTCTCAAAACGTGGAGGTGTATCAAATTTGACTATGTGAGTTTTCTGCAAAATATCCAAACTTTCCATTGTTAGACCTATTTATAGTTAAAAGCCGGGAAAGTAAAATGAGTCACGATTTTAAGGCTACTTTTAGTAACGGAATCTTTTTGCGATTTCAATTTCTGAATACCCGTACGGCGGAAAGGGAATCCTGGCAGTTAAGGGGCAATATTATAAACGGGAACGTGGCTCCGAGTCAATCAGGTTGTTCTAGAGTCTGTTGGAACTTTAGCTTGGAGAGTCAACTGATCTATGTAGTTCGGACAGATTAGTCTTCTACCTGGCTACGCTGTAATTATATAGCTCCAGCGAAACCGTGGTGCGTTAGTAGGTGTTGCACAGGGCATAGCATCCCGTTTTTGGACTTGGTAATGGTTCGGGTCACCAGAAGCTGAAATTATTTCTTTAAGAACTCACTAACAACCAAACATCAACACACTGATCTTGTTGTAACTGTTCATTCATACTATCTTATTTTGCGTTCAAATACTTAGCGTACTGTACATTAGGGCTGTATCTCTACTTTTAATCCAAATCTACGGTCATTGGCAACTCCCAGAAACATCAAAAATAGAGATATGATCTGCAAACCAACCCGAAGAAACGAAGAATTTTTAAAACGAAGAAATTAGGAGAGTGTTTCAATATATATTTTTCCACATTCCACAACCGATATTTCTTATGAAGCGATATCAGAAAAAGATCTTTTCAATCCAGGAACGTTTATTCTTGATGGAATATCTGACCACGGAGTAATGGCAGTCTGTTATATTAATGTTTGTAGAGATGGGAAAGAGATCGCAACGAACAATGTAATTTTGACATTTAACTCCTCCGAATTTACCTCCGAATTACCTATTTTGTTTTGTTTTAAATGGCTAAAATCTTATCAGTGCCAGCGTTTTGGCAGTACATAGGTATTCTGCCAGTGTTTATGCTAGATGTGGAATTTCAAGTAATCAGAGAACCACATGTAGTGCTGACCTTAGTTGTGTAAATTGCAAAGGGTCCCGTACTTCCTATTCACAGTTTTTCCCTTCGTGCAGCGAAAAACTAATACAGGAATTAAAAATCTCGATAAGCATTGCATTTCTTAAGGTTAGAAAGATCGTAATGCCCCGCAACCCCACAACAACCGACTTTGTTTTCAACTGAAGAAACCAGGAGCGGATCTAGGTTCTTCGGGGCCTAGGGCTTATTGAAGTCTAATAGTCTCCATTTTTTGTTAATTCAAATAATATTGCAAATGATCATTAATATTATATTATTAACTACTTTGTACTATACAATAAGCGCTCCTGTAAAAGTGTAAAAAATTTAATAATTCGATTATTGCAGGCCCTTGACACTTGGAGGCCCAGGGCTTAAGCCCTATTAGCCCCTCTGTAGATCTGCTTGTGATAATAATTAGCAGTACTTACACTTTCACCATTGCACATACTATGGAATAGTCATCAAAATTATCATACAACGTACATGTCTTTAGTATAATAAGCAATGACCCACGCTATAGTTTGTTTTAATGTACTTAAATTTCTGTACATATCCAGTCTACTTTGACCTTGTTTATTAATATGACAGGTAAAAATAAATATATTCTGTTTCGACTTTGACTATGATTTCCTCTTTTGCTATTTAGAAACTACACAAGTATAATAAGTCCTAACGCGATGTTAATAAACACGGTTCAAGTAGACAGGATATATACAGAAATTTAAAAGAATAAGAACATAGAAGTAAAAAGAATTTTTATATTTTTAGATATTATAAAGTGGCAAAAGGCTTGATTTTCAGGGTAAAGATGAATTTTATAAAAACTTGTAAATGTTAATAAAGAGTAAAATCTTCACTAAGTCTGACCCTACTCGAGGTATGATCCACGATCCTTACAACCTTTAAAAGTGTGGTCTATAGAGGGCAGATTTCAAATTAGGCAGCATCCAAACACAGTACCTCATTAAATGTGACAAGTGTAGCAAATCAGCATTACAGTCGACCAATAACAAACACTCTTTGCCTTCAGAATTTTATATGGGGACACATTGAACATTGCCCTGCAAGCTTATATCTCTGTATAATATAAGCGTTTCGAAGAAATGAAATATTTCTTGCTTGCAGCAGCAAAATCGCCATAGTAGTGAATTTTGGTACTAATTTTCGTACGCAAATGTCTTATAAATGTTCTGAAATGTCTTATGACCAGTTATTGTTGTATTTGGACTGCTGAATGTCTCTGTAAATAGAGTGGAATACTTGATTTACTATTACCAAATATTTAGTTCTTATAAGTGTTCAGTTTAATGTTATTAATACATTCTGACAGAATATTTCATTCTTTATGCTTTGATATGTGCAACATGTACCAATATCTTCGTGCACTACAACATGAAAAAATTCGGCTGCATTACATAGAAAGAACTAACTTTTTAATAACTCTTTTTATCCTTGTAAATACTAAAAGGTTACTTTTAGCAAGACATTTTGGTTTCGGCTAGGCCCACATTAGGTCGGCTGGAAATTGAAGGTTTAAGCCCGAAATATCCAAACAGATTATTTTCTCTTACAATTCTTGGGGTGTTCCGGTCTGTTGGGAGGAAGTCGAGTTTGTACGTGTGAATATCATTTCCTATGTTATGTGTCTTGTTCACAGGCTCCATTAAAAGTTTTTAAATATTCAACTGCAATTACCTTATTCGTATAACTCAATAATTACTCCTTAACGCACGATAAATGATGGAAATATTTCTGGTGTGTTGTCTTCAGCGCTTCCTAACATGAGTGACGCTCCTTTTTTGTAAGTGCTTTGAACGGGTAAAATATTGCATAATCTAACAAATATAAAACTAAAATTGCATGAAAAATATTTTATATTTTCAAAATTTTATTTGCGATAATCACATTTAAATATTCTTTCTTTTTCTGAATTTCATGTTATGAACGGTGTGAGGTGTATTATATTTATGATAGAAGGTGATGTTTTAGGGTATTAGACAAAAAATTTATTTTACAAATAAATGTATTGTATTTATATTATTCAGTATTTTTACTAAAATCATATACTATATTTAATATCAGGTTGATAACTATCAGTTTATAATTCTAAAATAACACTTCTCTATTATGAAAATTTAATCTACCGACTCAACAATGACAGAGAAAACTTGATATGTGTGCGGTGCTTTTATTTAGTAAGCGATAAGTAATTAAGCCGACAACAGGGTCCGTTTTATATGAAAAGCATAGATTTAAATTAAGTAAGACAATAGTCTTACTTAAATATATGCTTCTTACTTTAAAATTTCCTTGGACTAGCACTACATATTTTGTAATTGTATAGTTATTCTGTCCTGTTTATTGTGTAATGTAATATTATAGACTACTGTTAAATTCTTTTAGCTCTTATAGCCGTCATTTTATCTGTGTCACGTGACATTTCTATGTTAATATATAGACGATTTCTTGAACTTATTTATTTAGTTATCTTTGAGAGCAATAATATAGCTTTTTTTTTTATCATTGTCCCAGACGTGAAAGAATATCGATACTTTTATAAAGGTAAGTTTAAATATAGTCAGATCATATACGTAAGAATTATTTGCTTACTATAAACATACACACAGGTGTAACTATAGAATTTGGCACTGCAGCCCTTCTTTAATTAAAACTCATAAATAGATTTTGGTCATTCACAGTTATCACCACGAAATCCATCTGACAATTTCTGGTTAAAGATATTATTATGAGCAACACTAATTATAAACTTCTGTTTTAATAGTATAATGACTATATTATGTGAAACAGAATCCAATTCTATTCAATTCTATCTTCATTTATCGGTCACTTTCAGATACTTCTATTTACCTGAATCTACTTCAAGGTTTGGAGTAACAACGAAATCTCTTCATCGCTGTGGTGTAGCGTAAATGCCAGACACACGAACATGTTACTTGTAGTTGCAACAGAACTAAATATTTATTTCAAATGATCTGCTGCAGCGCTGATTTTGATATCAGTTTCTTACACTTTAATATTAACGAATGAAGTAAGTCAAAAATTTTAAGAAACAACTTATAGAAGTAAATCGTAAAAATATATTCCTAAGAAGGTATTTATAATCTGTTTTACCTTGTACTTGTATTTTTAATTTGGAGGGAACCCTGACATATGAAGTTACGCCGCACTGTCCACTGTCTGAAATTGTCCAGGTAGACATACATTGCATATTTTATGGAGTGCCACTCGATTGCTGGAGACAGAATCTCCAACGCTACAGTACTGACTTTATTCAACGAAAAATCAGAAAACATCGCGCAATACTCTAGTGACTTTGCATTGGTAAAAAATATCTTAACCTTTATATTTTGTATTTGTTTAGCTATTCGAAGAAATTGTGACTAAGTAGCTTGTAAGTCACATCAAAACACAAATCATTTTTTAAATACGTGAATGTATTGTTTGATTGGTATTAAATAGTGCAACACCAAAGCGATCTGCAAATCGGGAAATTGACGAGTGGGTATTTAGGGAGAACTTGTATGTATTCCAATGTTATCGCCGCGAAGGAAAAGCAATGAACTTCACTAGCCAGCCCATGCCGACTACCAGTGTTTAGGGATTAAACCCGGATTCGATTTAGCCACTGTCCACATGGGTGTAGGATAAAAAACGACGGTGCGTCGTTTTTTATCCTACACCCATGATTTTACGTCGGATTGTAGGTAGAAAATCGTTTGCAGCTTCTCGACTGTCTGTTCCTTTAGACACAGTACAACTCAGTGGTCTGAATGGCTTTCAATGTGTGAGAGAAACAATGAATGTCTTTGAAATTATTTCTAAAAAGCTTCAGCATGTTACCACAGCAAGCAGGCGAAGTGCAAACAATAACAAAAAATTCGTAAACGAGACACGTAACTTTTCCGGCAAAACAATCTAAAATTTCGTTTGGCGCAATCGCTTATAATACTTTATTTGTAGAAATACTCTATGTAATTTATTATTATAAAATCGAAAAAAATCTTAATTTTGAAGGTAGAGATGGGTAGTATAAAAAGTTAGTTGTTCGTAACAAGTAAAATCTCGAGATATCACACATTACTTATTTGTATCTCCCAACCCAATTGATAGTTAATTACATCAAACTTTAATAGCAGAAATATTTCGCCCCTTATACATCGAGTTATCATCTTACTTTACTTAGTTCAAATTACTTATACTCTATTGTTAATTTGTGAGCAGTTTGTTACTGTTAATTTGTAAACAGTCAAAATACTAAGATTAATATAATCGATTCACAGTTATCATCACGAGTTAACTAGAACATATATATAATCGAGACGGGTTGATAATAATAATAATAATAATAATAATAAATTCGCTACGCTGTTAACAGAACACACAACTGGAAGACACCTGGTGTAGACAACATTCACAATTTCTGNTTATAAAATTGAAAAAAATCTTAATTTTGAAGGTAGAGATGGGTAGTATAAAAAGTTAGTTGTTCGTAACAAGTAAAATCTCGAGATATCACACATTACTTATTTGTATCTCCCAACCCAATTGATAGTTAATTACATCAAAATTTAATAGCAGAAATGCCCCTTATACACAAGCTATCAAGCTAAATTTAGTTTTTTAATAGTTACCCCATCCCGAGATATTAAACGAAGTAGACGCCAACACAAACTTAGACATCACAGATACATATGCATAATATTTTTTCCGGTTTTGTTTGTACTTTTTTTGGGCTTAGGGTGTCGCAAAACGTAATAATTTGCAAAAAACACGAAGGGTCGAATTTGACTTGCCTTAAAACTTTTCCATATTATGAAAACGTTTTCCATGTTATGAGCTAGGAAAACGTCGAAGCAACTAAATTATCTTTGGCAAAGAGAAACTCCTAAGTAATTTGGACTTTCATTTCGGTTGCCATAATTTTTACTTAGTGCAATAACATTTTACATCTCGTATGTTTTTTAGATTGTTTTTGAGTAATTTGGCAAATTAATGTTTTCACTGCCCTTCTATTGGCTACAGGTTATCTATGACTATTTATTATTGCTTCTATACCATTATTTGGTCTTAAAATAAGTCAATAGGTAAACAATAAAATAATGAAAGGAAAATCAGAATCTAACTGAAAAAAAACTAAAAGAAAAAGAGAAAACCAATTTAATGTGATATATCAGGATGGGATAAATATTAAGAATAGAAATTTCTCACGCTAGCTTTTGTATAACAAACATTAATGCTATTAAATATTGCTGATTAAACCCTAAGAGTGATGAGATACAGGCAGTCACGTGTCAAATCTCCAGTGGGGTTGCACTTAATAGAGATTTTACTTGTTGCTAGCTATTATAGTTTCTTTATAAACACATCTCTACTCTCAAAATTAAGCGTTTTTCGTTTTATAATTATTAAAAACATAGATACTTTTTATAGCAAACTCTCATAACAGATGGTGCCACACACAATTTAATTTATTTATTATGATTAATAATATAAAAGTTATTTTTTAAATAACATCTCATAACAAGTGAGAAAGTCACTTAATTTGCTGCTACACTTTCAAAGACAAAATTACCATATTAAATATGTTATTACTAGACAGCGGATTTTAATGAAATGCTTATTTTTGTGTAATAACTTATTACACACAACATTAGCTATTATGTGAATGAACGATTTCGCGTACTGCATTTCGATGAATGTGAATATACTTTAAAATTATTATTAAAAAGAAAATCGGTTCATCGCTCTAGTGTTGTGTTAATGACATTCGCACAAACATTTTTCTGTATTTGCTAGAGCATAAAATACTTGTTGCAGTAATGATTTTCATATTAGTTTGAAATGCTTTACTACTAAATAATGAAGTAAAGTCTATCAAAATATCAAAAAAACAACTTATAGAATTAAATCAAATAAACATATTTGTAATAAGATGTTAAAAATGTATTTTTTTTTTGCACTCGTGTATTTACTTTTGATTCGGACAGTTTGAGGCAGACACACATAAACTTTTTCAATTCTTAACTGTTGATTTTCAAATAGTATTTTATATACCCCAGCTTTCTGTTCTTTTTTATGCTGTCTTTATTGTTCCGTAGCAAACTATAGATATTGGGTGCTCTTTTTCTTATAAAAACTCGAGAATGGTCTATAAAAGAGCACCCAATATCTATAGTTTGCTACGGAACAATAAAGACAGCATAAAAAAGGAAGAGAAAGCTGGGATATATAAAATTTCATTTGAAAATCAACAGAGGAATCAAAAAGATTATGTGGGTGTGACTAGAAGAAACCTGGATACAACGTTGACAACGACACAACAACACAACGTTGTACAATGGGAAGAGGCTAGTCATTAAAACGGTGCACTCTCCATCCATTGCGTTTGAGATGGAAAAGGTGAAAATGTATAAAAGTAAAATAAAAAAAACCGTTGCCTAAATGCTAGGGATGCTAATGCGCTTCTAACAGTATGAAAATATATAATAGAAAAAAGAATGAAACTTAAAAACCCATAAATCTTGTTTCTTTCTAGTTAGCTCTGTTTTCTATGTTTTATTTGTTTAGTTACTTTTTATTTATTTATTTAATATACACACTTTTTAAAATTTATTTTAAAGTTAAATTTTTAAAAAATTTTAAATATGTAAAATATTCAAAAACGGTACGTTCCATTTTGGAACATTTATAATATTAAACCTGACGATGGCCTATATTAGATAGGGTGAAAACATTTGTAAAAATAAAAGAATTTTAAGCTCAGTAAAATTAGGTGTTGGTGAAACTGAAGTGAATTAGTTGCTAAGAGGTGGATAGATACGATGTTATGTTTTAGCATTTCCTCTCCTCATAAGACATCTTTTTCGATCACCCACATATTCTAAAATGTCACAATCTGTAATCATCATGACTTAAACAACTACGAAATCAACAAGGATTAATGTCGGACACAAATGCGGATAAAACGTTTTGACTACAGAGAGAAAATATATTTAAAAGACAACGCACACATGTAACTCTCGTATGTTGCCACGTACGCTATACCCTTTGTGGCAGCCATTTTGGTCGACTTATACGCCATCTATATTTACTGGCACAAGCGAATAAAGACAGTTAAACATGGTCATTCGTATAGGTTACTCATAAGTTTAGAGAAGAGGGCCACACTTTTCCCTAAACCTATAGTTTAATTGTTTAATTGAAAATGACCAACAATAATTTAAGTATTATAAATATATTAATATCTACAAAGAAGACTTTTTGTTTTCACACTATTGTCAACAAAAGAGGTTTTTTTAGCCTATTAACATATCTTTGTACAGAAGCGTAGCCTACAAAAAGGTTTTTGGTTCAGTGGTGACTGAAATTAGTTGACTGTAATGACGAAAAGTCTTTTTTTATTCTTTGATACATTTTGACTACTTTAATTAATTCAGTAGTGTACTTATTAGAGTTCATTAGTACATGGTTTCATTTCTACTTTTTCAGCTCTGTTATATATTTATGTAAAACAGAAGTTATATATATATAACCAAGGAAAATAAGCAATCGTTCAAACAACGGCCTAATTGCATTAAATTCTGGTAATTAAAGATCAACGGGTGAAAAGATAATTTTTTTAATATCATGTGATGTAATTTGGAAAACAGGCTCATAGTAGCTGACATCATTAACGAAATTCTTGCACGTTGTGGACTAGTGAAAATTAATTTAATTATTGTATAAAGTTTAAAAAAGTATAAAAATATGAAATACTAGCTTTTGCCCACGGCTTCGCTCCCGTTAAGAAGTATTATTATTAATTAGGTATAGTTTTTGCGGCTTTACTTTTGTTTAAAGTGTGTAAAAAATTAGGGCCTACAAAACTTCTTTGTACACAATATTCTTAACTAATCTGTCATTATGCGCTAAAACTATCAAGCTATTGGGTGAACTTACTCGTGAGCAAGCAACATAAAACTGTCCATGAGAGAACATTCTTCAACTTCTCCATTAACGTTCAGATTTTCTTTAGCCATTTTGAAAAAGTCTAACCGACAAAACCTATACTTAAACCAAACGAAAACAAAACAAATGCCAAATACAAAGCAGAGTCTATAACCAAAACTACTAAACCGAAACAAAGCAAATGCAATCCAAAATATGCCAAGAAAAGAACAGCCAAAATCGTCAAATATAATCCGCTAGAAATATTTAGGTATAGTATGTACTATTAGATACGGCGGCCACTCATCATCGGGTATATGTAACTCAGTGAAAACACAACGATAGCGCGTTTTAAAATACTACTAACGCCATCTATTGTCAACATTTAGAACTAAAAATTATTTTGTTCGTCTTAATTTATTCGTTCCATTAGGTACTGATAGGTTCAAACTAATACATTTACATCCTCCATCATCCCTTATTTTATCCCCATGGGGGTTGAATTTATCAAAATCCTATTTAAGCGGACGTCTTCATCATAGTAGCTCCAATCTTTAATTTCAGTTCAATCAGTCGAAAATCTAAGAAGATTTATACAAACTTTCATCCCCTATTTTATCCCCTTAGGGGTGGAATTTATCAAAATCCTTTCTTAGGGGATGCCTACGTCATAGTAGCTTTATGCATGCAAAGTCTCAGCCCGATCGGTTTAAAATTGACAAAGTTTCATACAAACTTTCATCCCCTATTTTATCCCCTTGGGGGTAGAATTGATCAAAATCCTTTCTTAGCGGACGCCTACGTCATAACATCTACCTGCATGACAAATTTCAGCCCGATCCGTCCAGTGGTTTGGGCTGTGCGTTGATAGATCACTATGTCAGTCCTTTGAGATAATTATATATATTTAGATTTCCATAAGGTATAAAATGTTTGATAAATATAAATATAATTTATAATGCTCAATGAAATTGGAAATGAAAATAAGTCGAATTTCGCTTCACTTTCAGAAGTTTATTTTACTGAAAGTCTCGTACTGAATCACCACTGCAGGTAATAAATATTTGCTTTTGGGTTTGTGTCATATCTACGCGTCAAATTACCAGCCTGATGATTAAACTACGTAAATTTCTTTTAGGTTCTGTCAAGCACATTTAATAAAGTTTAACATTCTTTTCACATCCCAAGTATGAAAAGCTTTTTAAGGTATGTTTTCATATTTTTGTAGTTTAATAATTGAGTAAAAAGTTTAGTTTGCATTTATGTCACTAGTTTAAATTATTAAGATAATTATAATTTAATAGAAATATTTGCTTTATTATTGAATTTCAACTGTATTTTTTTTGTTTCCACATTTCTTCATTTAAATGCTGACAAATAACAGAATTGGATTAATGCTTTTTCTAAGTGCTGAATATTACTTCTGTGCTTCTGAAAAATATGAGAACACGACAAGTAGAGGTAAAAATAATGATGAATGTCTTTCTAAGTGAGAAAGTCGCTAACTGATAAAACTTTGTATAATTTTAGTAATTGAACGCAGGATGATTGGAGGAAGGTTGGCAGAAAAAGGAGAATTTCCATTTTTGGTGAGTTAATACATGTAAACATTTCACCTCTTGCAACTGTACTTACAAGAAATGTTATTATAATTTAGGTAGCAATATATAGAGATAGGAAATTTAGCGGTGCTTTTTCTTTAATCACAACAAGGACGTTAATAGGAGCAGCGCACATTGTACAGGAGTATGTTTGTTTTAATTCTTATTTAAAATTTTTCGTTGGAATATTATTAGAAATGCGAACGAATATTTTATCATAAATTTTGTTGTAAATGATAGATATGTATTGAATATATTTTAAAATTTAGTAATAAGTAAACTTTTTATTTTTTTTTTTTTGTCTGTGAATATAAGTAACTTTATAAATAGGTTGCAATCTCTTTTTACTCTAACGTTCGTAAAATAGATCAGGGCAGAAAAAGCTAATCACAACGATAGGATAAGGTGGCATATAAGCATAACAATACAATTAAACCTCGGATTTCGAAGGCCTCGCTTTTTGAACAATTCGGTTCACGAACAAAATTTATGACTCATTTAGGCTCGGTTGCCGAACAAGCTACTCGGCAGATCGACAGATGATTAACTTTCTGTGTTAAAGAAATTCGAAGGCTTGATCAATCAGCGGTAGGACTACGATTCAAAAGTTAGTGGGGCCGACATAGCCTCGCGTCATCAGATCACGTCACGATAGGAATCATCGATGAAATTGCTATTTAAATTAGATTTCCTGTCGCATGAAATACTAATTCCGCTTTTCGATATGCGCCGCAGTCGAATCTATATTAAATTAAATTAACTAATAAACGCCTTTAAAATGACATTTATATAATATGAATCGCAACCAGTTTCGTGTTTAAATATATTTATGTTATATTAATAAATTTCTGTTATTTAAACTAATATTATATATAATAATAATATTTATTAATACAAGATACACAGTTAATTAAAAGTAAAATCAAAATTAATAAATAAATTTTAATTAAAATTAAAATCAAATTATTGAAACATAATATTTCGGAAAGTGTGGACAAAGTATTTGTTGTCCGTCTTTATTTGTTTCCTCATATTTCATCCAGGAGGAGTTGAGTCAATAGATACAGAAGTTTTACTTTCCCGACTGCTATAATAACGGAGGGAATGTATGGCGATCGGTCGAAAAATGACGCCCAAGAGTTTTATATTTTTGAACTCAGAACATCTTGAAATGCCGAGAAATGAAAAAGTGTTAGGAACAATTTCTGTATGTATGGATATTAGTGTGTGGGGTGCACGATTTAGTTTACTTTTTTCATAATAACCCTTGTGGTGTTGTCGAAATTTTTTAAAAATTTTTCAGGGAGATTTGCTTGTCAGTGAGATTGATGCTATTAAATTTTGGTGTTTAAAGGTCGAGGGAGAGGGGAGATAGTAGGGTCCTGTTTATCTCTATTAGGTCGGACTATAAAAACATTTAGCATTTTAATAGCATCTACAAATCTATACTAATATTATAAAGAGGTAATGTATGTAAGTTTGTTTGCAGCAGGAAATCTCCGAAACTACTCATCCGATTTCAAAACTTCTTTCACCAATATTTAGAATGAAACCTCAGGGTGGACATAGGCTGTATATTATTCCGTTAAACATTCATATAAATTAAAATATATAATCTAGGTTAAGGCTTTTATGTCCAACAGATGGCGCTACGAGTACGACGCCCTAAGTTTGCTTTTCTGTGAGGCATTATGCTTTTCTGTGAAAATGAACTAAAGCAGATCATCTTCTATCTATCTATATAAATAAAAATGTAATGTTCGTTTGTTCCTACCGATTCCTTTAAAATTTTGACACAACGCTGCATTCGAATACGCACGTGTTTTTATATAATATACGTGTCGAAATTCCCCCCACTGAAGGGAGATGGTTAGGATTAAGGCTTACCGTAAAGAACTCTGCTTCTATTTAGGACTATACTATTTTAGATGCGTTTTTTTTGCGTTTTAATAGGGTACGTCAACAGAATGTACACTAAGAAGAAATTTTTCGAAAAATTCCCACCCCCCCACGGGGAAGTGTTATAAATTTATAATAGATACACTTTGAGGCACAACAACGCCTGGCGGGGTCTGCTAGTTTTTTATAAAATCGATCCATACCCTGAAAATTAAGATTTTTTGCCATCTGTTATTATATATAATAACAGATAGCGCAATCAAAATTCGAGATGTCTCCGGGAATGTTGAACAATTAGATTCTAGTTTATTTTCTAAAATGATAATTTTGGTTTGGTTAGCGGTGACAGAACGTTTCGATTTTAATATGTATATGTTACTGTGAAAGACCGAAATTAGAGAATGTCGATATTCTCCGGTGAATGTCGACACATACAAAATACGTCAGTGAAAGACCGAATATTTGGTTNTAATAAATTTCTGTTATTTAAACTAATATTATATATAATAATAATATTTATTAATACAAGATACACAGTTAATTAAAAGTAAAATCAAAATTAATAAATAAATTTTAATTAAAATTAAAATCAAATTATTGAAACATAATATTTCGGAAAGTGTGGACAAAGTATTTGTTGTCCGTCTTTATTTGTTTCCTCATATTTCATCCAGGAGGAGTTGAGTCAATAGATACAGAAGTTTTACTTTCCCGACTGCTATAATAACGGAGGGAATGTATGGCGATCGGTCGAAAAATGACGCCCAAGAGTTTTATATTTTTGAACTCAGAACATCTTGAAATGCCGAGAAATGAAAAAGTGTTAGGAACAATTTCTGTATGTATGGATATTAGTGTGTGGGGTGCACGATTTAGTTTACTTTTTTCATAATAACCCTTGTGGTGTTGTCGAAATTTTTTAAAAATTTTTCAGGGAGATTTGCTTGTCAGTGAGATTGATGCTATTAAATTTTGGTGTTTAAAGGTCGAGGGAGAGGGGAGATAGTAGGGTCCTGTTTATCTCTATTAGGTCGGACTATAAAAACATTTAGCATTTTAATAGCATCTACAAATCTATACTAATATTATAAAGAGGTAATGTATGTAAGTTTGTTTGCAGCAGGAAATCTCCGAAACTACTCATCCGATTTCAAAACTTCTTTCACCAATATTTAGAATGAAACCTCAGGGTGGACATAGGCTGTATATTATTCCGTTAAACATTCATATAAATTAAAATATATAATCTAGGTTATGGCTTTTATGTCCAACAGATGGCGCTACGAGTACGACGCCCTAAGTTTGCTTTTCTGTGAGGCATTATGCTTTTCTGTGAAAATGAACTAAAGCAGATCATCTTCTATCTATCTATATAAATAAAAATGTAATGTTCGTTTGTTCCTACCGATTCCTTTGAAATTTTGACACAACGCTGCATTCGAATACGCACGTGTTTTTATATAATATACGTGTCGAAATTCCCCCCACTGAAGGGAGATGGTTAGGATTAAGGCTTACCGTAAAGAACTCTGCTTCTATTTATACTATTTTAGATGCGGTTTTTTGCGTTTTTGATTGCGTTTTAATAGGGTACGTCAACAGAATGTACACTAAGAAGGAATTTTTCGATATTCCCCCGCGGGGGAGAAGGACAGAATTAAGGCTTACCGTGAAGAACTTGGCTTCTATTATATTATTTTAGATGCGGGTTTTTGCGTTTTTGATTGCGTTTTAATAGGGTACGTCAACAGAATGTACACTAAGAAGGAATTTTTCGATATTCCCCCGCGGGGGAGAAGGACAGAATTCAGGCTTACCGTGAAGAACTTGGCTTCTATTATATTATTGTAGATGCGGGTTTTTGCGTTTTTGATTGCGTTTTAATAGGGTACGTCAACAGAATGTACACTAAGAAGGAATTTTTCGATATTCCCCCGCGGGGGAGAAGGACAGAATTCAGGCTTACCGTGAAGAACTTGGCTTCTATTATATTATTGTAGATGCGGGTTTTTGCGTTTTTGATTGCGTTTTAATAGGGTACGTCAACAGAATGTACACTAAGAAGAAATTTTTCGAAAAATTCCCCCCCCCCACGGGGAAGTGTTATAAATTTATAATAGATACACTTTGAGGCACAACAACGCCTGGCGAGGTCTGCTAGTTTTTTATAAAATCGATCCATACCCTGAAAATTAAGATTTTTTGCCATCTGTTATTATATATAATAACAGATAGCGCAATCAAAATTCGAGATGTCTCCGGGAATGTTGAACAATTAGATTCTAGTTTATTTTCTAAAATGATAATTTTGGTTTGGTTAGCGGTGACAGAACGTTTCGATTTTAATATGTATATGTTACTGTGAAAGACCGAAATTAGAGAATGTCGATATTCTCCGGTGAATGTCGACACATACAAAATACGTCAGTGAAAGACCGAATATTTGGTTATACATTCGAACAATCGCCGGTGTATGTTGACAAGCACAGATAAGCTTTGGAAGTCGAAACGACACCTGAAAAGCCGATGTCGACAGAGAGGCTACAGTCCGTCACCAAATCCTTTGTGGGTAGTCGGAGTTAGGACAAGGTCGTACCTTTTTTCCCGGCAACGGTTTGGTGGAAACATAGATGAGATTCCTTTTCAAGAAATATCGCTGAGAGAAGCAGCTACAGCTAAATCGAAAAAGTAGAAGATAAGACTATACATTTTTTTTTTTTTACATTTAGTGGAGCACTCCCTCTGACCTGTAGCATTAAATGCTACTGGCTTGAAGTACTCCTCTTTTAATTAACCCTGCTTCGCATATGCTTTGCAGGTAAGGCTATATTTAGCCCCCGTATAACACTGTAGATATTTCCGTGTTATATGAATTCTATGTTGTACGAGTCACTTAGATTTTACAAATACGTGAGCCGTTCACAGCCCGACACACGTATTTGTAAAATCTAAGTGACTCGTACAACATGGAATTCATATAACACGGAATTATTTACAGTGTTATAGGTGGTCTACTGTACACGCTGTCATTGCAAAAAGAAGTGTTCCACGAATAAATGCAGTTGTAAAAGCAAGGGACTCAAAGTGCCATAACAGTTTAAGTTATTGCAATAAATAAGATGGTAAAACGTCAATCACATAATTTATGTGTAAGTTTATTATTGTATTATTTTCTTTAATTATTTAGAACGTACTGTTCATTTTAAGTTCAACAGTTTATTTACATGTGCCGTTAATTAAGCTTTCTCCTATTTTTAACATATTAAAAAGTTGCATTTTTGTCTTAAAACGTAATAAAAATATGTTTATTCAACATTCACTATCAGTGCATGCTGAATGTCGACATTTGCCGGTGTAAGTGAGAAACAATGATATTTAGCAAATATTTCGTACATACACGAAGCGACTGTGTGAATGCTGACATTCACCGGAGAATGTTGACATTTGCAAGATATCGGTCATTCACAGTAACATATATATATATACATATATAGGCTATATATAGAGAGAGAGAAAGAAAGAAAAAATATAGATAATATACTAATAATATATATATTATTATATTGTATTTCCTTTATAGGCATTTTTACGCATGAAATACATATATACAACAAAAAAGGGTGGTTACCTTTTCAACGTCATAATAAATAATTTTAATATGCATACATGTTTGATTCAATAGGATACTTTAACTGCTTTTTGTGCTTTTTTCAACTATCACAATATTAATTATGCAGAACGTGGTAAACTAAATAAAGATCACATTTTTATAAATCATGTTAAGGTAGCTCTACTTTTGGCCACTACTATATGGCAACGATAGTAACAGTTTAGAACGGAAAATAGTTCAATGCACTTCATATTTACTACTTTATATTGACTAGCGATAAGTATTCAAATAAAAGTTAACCACATGAGAACGAAATACCTAAAACTAAATTATATCACCAATCAAATGAACGTTACAACTGCACAGATAAATGACTCAGTGTTTATTGCAATTCTTAGTTCAAACAAGTACAGTATTTAATTCATAAAACTAGATAATTGAAAAAAATTTAAGATTATGTACCAGCTATTAAAGGAACTTATTATGTAATGTATAAACTTTGTATACGAAATCTAGACAGCTCCAAAGACAGATAAAAACGAAAACACATAAAACAAAAATATAATCATAGATAGTAAACCCAGTCGCTGATAAATACAGCGGAAACATAGTATTATGATACAAACAACAATTTTTACAGAAGCACATGGTATAAATATACAAAAATAATGTAATAAATGACGTAGGGTTTAGTTAGAAGAAGCACTAGGAAGGCCTCCTTCAAGTGGCTAACATAATGTGAGAAACCGTGGACCAAGGGTTAATCCCTCTTGACCACTTACTCGGCAACAGTCTGCAAAGACCGCTCACGTTGTCGTTCCGGATGGCTGTTTATCTAGTGGCTAGGGAGGTGGGGAAGTCGGCAGGCGTCCTTTCAATGACAGGAGACAGGTTTAACAAAATAGCAAAGCGTTTATTTGAATAATTAAGCTAGGATACATGAGGCGATAATAATATTAAAAGTAAATGCGGTTAAATATGAAGTAACTATACAAAGGCCGCTCTTAACCGTTCTAACGGCTATTCTGAGAGAAAGAGTTCACAAAGCTCTAAAATACAAATACCTCTATGAGGATATGATAATATGCGTTCGTTGAATGGGCCGCAAGACTCGTAGTCGGCGCAGGAACTGTAGTTGTGGCGATAAGTATGAAAGTTCGAAGTTGTGGTCTGTCGTAGGGCAATGTCCTTTCGGTCGCTACGTCCGGTGTATGGAGACAAGATGCACACATTAATAAGTATAACTTCCTTTAACCGGAAGCTCGAGCTTTTATACGTTCTTCGAGGGAAAAGAGTCACGTGATCTACTTCTGTCGACACTAACGGTGCATACCTATCAACCAAGTGTCAACTTTTCCACCTAATTGTGGAAACAAACGGTGACGTCCGATATATTCTCACCAAGAGCGGGCTTTTTCCATCCGAGTTGTTTACAAATGTTTTTCCGACAACTACATAAAAATCGCGGATCTCACAATAATTTATGAACCAGATTAATATAGTAAGTCGTTTCGAAAGGCAAACCATATAAAAAATTGACCATATCAAAGTAAAATTGAATTTTCCTATGATTCCGTTCATCTACATACTTGGCTACGGTAGATATTCCAACATACAAACAGGAACTCACTGCCAATCTCTGACAAAGCTGTTTTCAGAAGGAGTAAGTAGAAGATAAAAACAAAAAAATGTGATTACAAACCGCAAAAGTAATGTAATAATATTTTGCTTTATTCTATTGTTTCGCTAATGATTATTTATTTAAATTTCATTTTTATTCAGATACACAGTCAAAGATTGTTACGGAAGAATAGGAAACGTCAACAAACACGCGGGGAAGAAAGTGCTGTTTCGGAGAATGATTATACACAAACGTTATAATTCAGAAACATTTCACAATGATATTGCACTTCTGATTCTCGCACGCAGTATTAACAATATATCTCCGATTGCTTTAGTTGGAAAAAACGTAAAATTTACTAAAGGTTCCGCCACGTTTGTTGGTTGGGGAAGAATTGGTTTAAGTAAGTCTGTTATTTTTCTGTAATATTCAAAGTCTTGTACNACAAAAATAATGTAATGAATGACGTAGGGTTTAGTTAGAAGAAGCACTAGGAAGGCCTCCTTCAAGTGGCTAACATAATGTGAGAAACCGTGGACCAAGGGTTAATCCCTCTTGACCACTTACTCGGCAACAGTCTGCAAAGACCGCTCACGTTGTCGTTCCGGATGGCTGTTTATCTAGTGGCTAGGGAGGTGGGGAAGTCGGCAGGCGTCCTTTCAATGACAGGAGACAGGTTTAACAAAATAGCAAAGCGTTTATTTGAATAATTAAGCTAGGATACATGAGGCGATAATAATATTAAAAGTAAATGCGGTTAAATATGAAGTAACTATACAAAGGCCGCTCTTAACCGTTCTAACGGCTATTCTGAGAGAAAGAGTTCACAAAGCTCTAAAATACAAATACCTCTATGAGGATATGATAATATGCGTTCGTTGAATGGGCCGCAAGACTCGTAGTCGGCGCAGGAACTGTAGTTGTGGCGATAAGTATGAAAGTTCGAAGTTGTGGTCTGTCGTAGGGCAATGTCCTTTCGGTCGCTACGTCCGGTGTATGGAGACAAGATGCACACATTAATAAGTATAACTTCCTTTAACCGGAAGCTCGAGCTTTTATACGTTCTTCGAGGGAAAAGAGTCACGTGATCTACTTCTGTCGACACTAACGGTGCATACCTATCAACCAAGTGTCAACTTTTCCACCTAATTGTGGAAACAAACGGTGACGTCCGATATATTCTCACCAAGAGCGGGCTTTTTCCATCCGAGTTGTTTACAAATGTTTTTCCGACAACTACATAAAAATCGCGGATCTCACAATAATTTATGAACCAGATTAATATGGTAAGTCGTTGCGAAAGGCAAACCACTTAAAAAATTGACCATATCAAAGTAAAATTGAATTTTCCTATCATTCCGTCCATCTACACACTTACTTGGCTACAATAGATATTCCAACATACAAACAGGAACTCACTGCCATTTTTCTGACAAAGCTGTTATCAGAAGGAGCAAGTAGAAGATAAAAACAAAAAAATGTGATTACAAACCGCAAAAGTAATGTAATAATATTTTGCTTTATTCTATTATTTCGTCTAATGATTATTTATTTAAATTTCGTTTTTATTCAGATACAAAGTCAAAGATATTTACGGAAGAATAGGAGACGTTAACAAAAACGCGGGGAAGAAAGTGCTGTTTCGGAGAAGGATTATACACGGACGTTATAATCCAAAAGAGTATAATAATAATGATATTGCACTTCTGATTCTCGCACACAGAATTAACGATATATCTCCGATTGCTTTAGTTCGAAAAGATTTAACATTTACTGAAGGTCACGCCACGTTGGTCGGTTGGGGAAATATTGGTTTCAGTAAGTCTGTTATTTTTCTGTATTATTCAAAGTCTTGTACAACAATAAAAATAATACGAATGACATTTTATGTAATCTAGAAAAAGATGATAAAACAGACCTTCTTCAAGTAGCTGAAGTAAACTTAGTAGATCCAAAATACGTGGCTCGTAAATTCGACTACGAATTAACTTACAAAGAAATTACAACAGTGTCATCTAGAGTAATAGGCATGAAAGTAAAGCAGTTACTACTTTTCATATTATGGTTATAGTTAATGTTACCCTGTTATTTATAAAAGTTTTATTGTTACAGGGAGATTCTGGCTCACCACTGATCAAGAGAGATGCGTTAAACAGACCAGTGCTTATTGGCATTTTGTCTAACGGCGGAAATAATACTGGAAAACCAGATGTTTACATGTCGACCAGTGTTCACTATTCTTTTATAAGAACTTTCAGAGTCGGACGTCCCACATACTTAGACGTAAAAAATTAAAATATGAAAATAGCATGGTTAATTTTTCATTTCAGAAAATATAAAATCTAATTCTATTCGCAAATAGCTCGTATTTCAACAATATTTAACAGTGGATATATTTCATTTCTATGCCTGTATTACTTTAACAGGTTTTTGTATTAAATAATCTTATGTATTTATTCATTGTGTAAATTACATAATTAGATTTTCTTTAAATAAAACCTTAAAGATCCATGTGAAATTTTTAATGTGTCATGAATTTATGTAATGTACTTACACTACGAATCTCTGCGCTATTTTACATATTAATAAATATGTAAAATAGCGCAGAGATTCGTAAAATTCACTGCTGTTAAAATATAAACAATTATTATAGGCGTGTTAGTATCAATTTTTAGAAATTTGGCATGGATAGATCTATATGAGACATTCTTTTTCTTCACGTGCCATGCCCGGTTCCCCGGACGTTGGCGATCACCAAGGAGAGGGAGTTCCTATCTTCGGCCGTTCTCATTACCTCCCCAATGTTTTGTATGCCTGTCCATTTTTTAATATTGTCCATCCATGATAAATGTCTTCGGCCTCGTTTACGCTTTCCCTCAATCTTTCCATTGAGGATTAGTTGTGGGATTTTGTATTTTTCTCCTCTAGTGATATGTCCCAAGTATGCAATCTTTCTGCATTTGATTGTTGACAGCAATTTTCTGTTTGTTCTTGCTCTGCTTAGAATTTCGTTGTTGGTCACTCGATCCGTCCATGGGACTCTCAGCATCCTTCTGTGAATCCACATCTCAAATGCCTCCAGTCTTCTTTCTGTATTCCTTTTTAATGTCCAGCTTTCCACACCATAGAGGAGAACTGACCAAATATAACATTCGGCCATGCGTTGCCGCAATTTCAAATTTAAATTGTCGTTGCAGAGCAGGGTTTTCATTTTTTGGAAGGATGTTCTAGCTGCTGCTATCCTGCATTTAATTTCTTTCCCTGAA